AACTTACAGATTTAAAACTTTTTAATACAGGTACTTCTCACGAACAGGCGCAGAAAACCTCCACCTAAACTCCGTGTGAGGGTCAGGTCGATGGGTGTTCCAGTTAGCTCTGGTTGGGTTGAAGCTAGGTGGCTACATCCGTTAGCTCGGCTCCCACCTCCGCTTTAGCTTTGGGTTAGCCAGGGTTAGCTTCAGGTTAGCTCGTAGCTAGTTCGCCTGGGTGTCGTCACTCGAGCCCAACCTTACAGCCCCACCCTCAGCTCCTCCTCTCTTCCCTTTTATGGAATTGTCTGGGCTGGACGGAACCTGTGACACGGTCAAAATGGCGGTGGTGGCCACCTCCCATTATAGACAAAAAAACGTGTTATTGGAGCCTATGGAATCATTTTGTCCAGTATGTACAGTCTATGGTGGAAACCCTTTGGATGTTCAAACCATCTTTACTCATCGCCACTGCTCCAAGGGTAACCAATAAATGCTGTCTGACGACAATTGTTGAACATCATGCAATGCCATCCGTTGGCATAGATGTTTTGAAAGGCCAGTTGGGGAATAGGCACATGTAAAGTAAGAGGTCATTGTTCGTATTGGTGAGCAAATCACTGCCTGTCACATGAGAGACTAGGATTGTAGATGACTACTAACTGATTGATGTATTTGACAGTGTTACAAGCCATCTTCCCAAACTAGCTGACTCTTTAACAGATGTTACGTCTCAGGGTTGACTTGTATTTCTATTTATGCGTGGGCGTGATATTCAGTCGCTCTCTAAAACTGCCTGCACACTATAGGAGCTGATCAGCGATCACCATTAACCTAGATTTTGATCCCGACAAACACACTGCTTGCAGCTCAAAGGAAGATTCGGTTCAAACCCAAACACATCTTTTAGTCACCTGCAGCTTATGTATTGCTCAGGTTAAAGACTCTTAAATGACTGGCCTAAACCTCTTGGAGTGGGATAACAAGTAACCAGCATCTCACCTTTTCGGTTACACGACACCAGCGGAGACCCCAGGCACCGAAAATCCTTTTAAGTTTCTTACAATAAGAAACCAAGGTTTTTATTTAATAGGATGAAAAAAGATTAATCCAAACAGAATCACCCCGACGCAGCGGGTAAGACAAAAAACACCGAGCTCCACCGAACTCGTACAGAACTCTCCCAGAACTCAGAGCTGAACTCGGGCCCCCCTTTTTATTACTTTACTTCCCCCTCCTTCTTGTCTCCTCTTCGTCTCCATGACAACTCCCGCTTCAGGAAGCACTCTGCCCGGCCTTGTGACTCCTCCCAGCATCTCTTGCTTGGTGTTCTTCAGGCTTGTGGTCATCAGTCAACAGGGCAAGGCGTGCCCTTTCCTTTTCTTCTCCAGGGGCCTGCTTAAGCCAACCATAAACATATCCCAGACGCAGCGTCTACCCTGAATCTTTATCGCATCCCGGACTAACCCCACAGAGGTCAGTAAAAGGCTAAAGCCACAACATGTATTTACCAAAAACAGCAGGGTAGTGAAGCACATCCATTATTTACGACATTAGGAGATCAGGAGTCAAATCACACACACACATACATACATACACACAAAGACCTTTCTCTGACCTCTGTCTCAGGGTTGACTTGTATTTCTGTTTGCGTTGGGCGTGACACCAGCCGCTCTTTAAAATGCCTGCACACTGTAGGAGCTGATTAGCAATCACCGCTAACTTAGACTCTGATTCTGGCAAAACCAACTTTATGCAGCTCAAGGGAGACTCAGTTTACTCACAATCCATGTCCATGAAGCTTATGTACACTTCAGGTTAAGACTATTGCCAGCTGTTCCTTTTATGCTGAGGAGACAACTGACTTTACCTGTAACCTAGGATGGAGGAAACATTTATATCAATTACACCTAGGGATGGCATTTACAACCAGCATCTCACCTTTGCTCGGTTACCGACAAGAGGAGACCCCACTCGTAAATCCTTTTTTTGTTCCACGAATACGAGGAACTAGGTTTTATTTCACACAGATGAAAAAAGAATAATAATCCAAACGAAACCCTGACAAAGCGGGTTAAAAAGTAAAACAACTCTTTGCCAATAAACTGAGTTATAGCAAAGTTGAGCTGAATAAGCTCTCCAAAAATGACACTAGGTCAGATTATCACAGACAAAAAGCTCAAAGCAAAAGCTTTGTTCTTTCCATCTCTGTACCTCACACACTCTTCCCATCAAAGGCCAACCCTCCTAAAAACTCTCCTTAACAGGCCTTTAGCTTGGTTTCACACACACACACGGATACATCTTGTAGAGCCTAGAATTGATTTCACATAATGAGACATAATCCAGACAATTTCATACATTAACAAGTCCGATTATACTCCAAACAACAAAAAGTCTATTGCAGCAATCATATCTATGTAGAATACGTCAGTACAAGTGACCTAATGGCGTATTTTCTCCCTGCATCGTTCCGCACTGAATGTAGCACTGATGTTAGAGTGAAAAAGGATAATGCCAGTACCAGTTGTGGAGTTAAACAGTCTTACTGTATTGGAAACGAATGACCTATGATAGCGTTCTGTTTCACATCTTAGATGTCTCGGTCTGCAGCTAAAATAGCTGTCCGTGGCCTCCACAGTGGAATACAGTAGGTGGGAGCTGTTTTCCAAGATGGAAGTCAGCTTTGTTTACATCCTCCTTTAACATACGTTCTCAACAGATTCCAGTTGGTAGCCCAGAAGCTAGATTTTCACATAAAACCTGTAACTTTTGCCACCTGTCAAAAATAAGCACTTTCTTGGCATCAAAATGTGTCTTTAGAATTCCTGGACATATGATCTATGGCACATATCAAACGGAATCAGAAAACAAATTTTATTGGTCCAGATACTCCCATTCATTTTTTGGGCAGTAGGGGGCCCATGGCCCGGAAGTAGATGGATGTGACTCTGGCTCCCGTGTTAATGTTCCATTCATTCGCATATGAGTTACAAGTGTTATTCCTTGTTTTACTGTGTAACACGGATGATGCTTTTATTTTGAAGAAACTGCTTTTATTGTTGAAAGAACAGAGCAACAAGCTGCCGTAAATCAGTGTCGCAAACCGCACAGCAGCGGGAAAAGTCCATGGTGGCGGAAGGAAAGTGTGCTCCGTGTTAAAGGAAATTAGGGTTTATAAGATTTATTTCTTAAATACCTGCGATGGTTTGAGCTCCTGGTTGATGAGGAACAAGGTGGGTTTTTAATGTTGATTCGTAAATGTGTATATATTTGGACTTTTATGTTGTAAGGTGTTCTGCTGAGTAAAAAGGACTCCGCTTTTGTCCACTAGAAGGTGCTAAAGAATACGGATAAATTAAGCATGTTAAAAGGTAATGATTTATAAGCTGCTTTATTTTATTTGTCATGCAAGGTCACAGACAAGTGGACATGATTTACTTTATTTTATTTCATGTATCAAAGAGGTTTAAATGCATTGTTAAAATTGTTTAATTTAATATAATCTATGTAGAAAATGCCAACAAAAGGATGTTACAACTTAAAGGAAAGAATTCATTTATACGTATTGAATAAGGAAAGGTTTTAAAGGCAACTTGTTGTTTGAGTTACTAAGTGTTTATTTTTGTGTACACTTCATAGCTCTTACGGTGAGGTCACAAGGCAAGGTCAAATAAAGGATTGTGAACCATCAGTTAGAGACCATAATGTCAACCGGGGACGCTACACTCCCTATATAAGTGATGAGAGATCCCTCTCCAGGCAAACAGTGAATACCAGTGTTTTCACTGCTAGCAGAGACAGACGCCAGTGACTCCTTTCACCATCATTTCACAACCACCACAGTCCCTCCTCTTTCACTCACAGAGACTCAAATTACACCAGAAAGAGCTCTAAAACAAACCTTATTTTATTCTCCTTGTATAAGAAAATGCATTACACTGATGGGTTTTACATGAAAACATCAGAATGTCTGATTCACACATCCACACACTGAAAATAATCCCACTTTGTATGCACACACACACTTGGAAAATCGTTTTGATGCTTCTTTTACAAAGATCTTACTGTTTCAGTTGTTTCTATGATGTCTCTCATGTATCTTCCTACATCACAGTTAATAAACAATAATTGTAAAGAACAAACAGGAAAAAGGTAACAATGCTGGATGGCATTACTAATGCAGATGTTGTTACATCCCCTGAATGTTTACTAAAACAATTTAAACAATGTCCATTTTGGTCCTTTTAACTGGTTCCAATGACTAAAAATATTCAAAAACAATCAAAAGAAACAAACTTCTGACCTGTTTTGAGCTTCATATAAGAAAACATGAATGCACTTTTCTTGCATAAATGTAAACACAAATATTATTAGCATAATCAAAAAACAAAGGCTAAGTGACTTCCTGCACTGAATTCACATCAACTGAAACACAACTCTTCAATAAATCAAAGCCTTCCATCAGTAACCGTTAAGAGATTTTAGATAGTTATTGATCAATGCCTTATGACATTAAAATCTTTCAGCTCACATAAGAACAGCAAAGCACTCTGACTCAATGATTAAAACACTCACATCTTGACTCCCCAGTGAAACTAGTTTCTGTTCCTGCATACCACTGATTAGAGGTACTCCCTAAAATTTCATCTTGTGTGTTCTTTTCCATTTTAATGATTTCATGAATGTTCTAATAAAAGACCTAGCTGAGCCAAGTGGATTTCAGTCTGAGTTTGGACGTGAACATACACACTGCTTTGCAAAGTTGCTCTTAAAGACAATTGTCCCTGTCCAGTTTGTGTTTCTTTGATATTGGTGGTAGAATTAACCCATCAGTAACTTTTACAATCCCCACCGCTCCGGTTACCCTTCATGAATTATCCCATCCCAGTAAAACTTCACACACCATCCACTTTATAATTTATAAGCACCAAAACATAGTTTCAAATGCAAAAATGATGTAGGCTAAATGTCTGAATGACAAATGTACAAATTAAGCATACTGGGAAGGAAAATTATTTAAACCCAAATTTTTAATATCACACCACCGACAGTTCGATGCTTTCAAGTAATGTCAACACAAACAGCTTTACATGGAAACATGTCATCATGCAAATGGAACTAATAAATCACAGCTGCTGTTGTTGGACTAATGATCTCAATCATTTAAATTGGTGTTGGAGTCTGCAGATTTAAAGAATTCAAAATGTTTTTCTTACCGCGAACAACAGATCTGTAGCTCATTTGGTAGATTTAGAAAAAAAATTTAACATTTGTGTTTTATAAATTATTTAAACATTTAAAAATGTCTATCATTTGAAATAAAAAACAATCAGACAACTTTTGTTCTATGAACAACCTTCCACAGATATGATTGTGCTTTCAAACACACAACTGTACAGTCCAGCTGTAAAGCCCCTTCAGTCACATCTGATCTCTCATCTGGAGTCGGCGTGTTCCCATGACGACCATGATAGGAGTCTTTGCAGTGCACAGAACACTTCTGACGAGGCTTCTGTTGTAACAGCTTTATTCCTTGGCTGGTTTTTCCAGTAATAAATAAATAAATAAATACTCAAAGGGATCAGGTGCATAAGAGTGAGTCAGGTCTGAGCGTGCTCTGTGACCTTTATCTGGCCTCTGGACCCTGCTGGTGGTTCCTGCAGCATTCAGTCTATTCTGTTACCACAAATGGTGAATCGGTCGATTTCCAATAAATCTTTCTTAGATGTTCTGTGTCTGAGTTCATCTCCTTCCAATCCTGTGTCAGTGTTTATGATTTTTTCATCGTCCTCCTCATCTGGCGTGGTCAGAAACGTGTCCGAGTCGCTCTTGGGGATCGAGGGTGCAGTGCTTTCTAGCCTGTTGGTGGGCTGAAGGACGCCAGATGCCGGAGAGAATCCTGCTTTGTCGGTAGTTGGCTCTATTGGAGAGAAGGGAGATTTATCAGAGGGCAGGGTAACTGCAGGTTTAAGGGAGCCAAATTTAAGACTTTTCAGGATCTTTCTTAAGGCCACTTTGACCAAATTTAAGCCATTTTTAATTTAGCTATCATTTCCAGCTATTGCCTGGAACCGGTGATAACCACGTCACGAACGTGGGATTAGCCATCCAGTTAAAATTAAACTTGCACTTCCCCATGGCGCAAGCTCCCACTAGCTTAACCATCTAAAAATAGCCCTTTCACAACCAACTGAATGTGTGCAGTTCTGCTTGTGCCAATATCATACACAAAAGATGCTGAACACTAACTAGAAATTCACGAAAATTTTATAGAAATAAAAGAATCTTGTTTATTGGGTCTTTGGTAATTTAATATCTTTGGAAACTGTACTAAGGATTATTAGCCCTTTTTAAGGATTTTTAAGGCCTTAAATTTGGAAAAGCAAATTTAAGACTTTTTAAGGACCCGCGGATACCCTGAAGGATAAATAGATATATAGGAAGAGAAGAGAGAGAGAGGACCACGAGCAGCTGGCTAACCTTGGTTTGATGCAGTGGGAGCATGTTTGTTCCGGTTAGCTCGGGAGTTAGCTCGGCTGGAGGCGACAGAAGGAGGAGGGTCAAAGAGTTTTTCTTCCATGTTTGCCTCTTTGACGAACACACAAGACGTCCCGAGGAGAACGATGCTGTTGAGAACCTTCAGCATGATCATCCTACTCACAAACGCACACAAAACCTTTCAGCGTGACACTTCTCGTTCCCCTAAAACTCAATTAACAATAGATAAAGAAAGCAATAATCACCCAAGGTAAAACAGCATTACACACATGAAGGAGAGCGAACCCTGGATCTTCACTGAGCTGGTCACTACTTTGATGAGCTGAAAAATTAACACATTTGCAGAATTCATTGAAAACCCGTGAACATAAAATTATGTATAATTTTAACAAACGTGGAACCACGTAAGACTGACCAGCAGGGCTAAAGGAAGAGGGATGAAGCCCATTCTTCTGGATACAGAGTCACTGTAGTCTGTGTAAGCCTGAGGACGGGTTTAGCACATCCTTAAAGCATCAACAACAAACACGGGCAACATTTACAAACAAAGGTTTCGTCTTTGTCACAAAAGGGAAAGTTGCTTTAGCGAGCCATGTACATCAGCATTTTTATGTAGGTGTGCAGACAATTTGAAGCCATTCCAGATCATCCTCTGCTTAAAAAAAAAACCCTATTTGAGATGCTCAGCTGACATTTCACACTCACATTTTTCTGTCTGCTGCTGACAAGATCAAAGGCAAGGCTTGCTCTGTATTCTCCATACACCTGTGGAAAAGCAGAAGGAACATTTAGGAGGCAGGAACCAATAAAACAAACACACAGCTGCACAAGAGGCTCTTCATGAAGGTATATGTGACGGCAGAACAACAGGACCAGCACTGATCCTGATGGGGCTGAATACCAGTGTTTCCCCTAGGAATTTTTTCAGCTGTGGTGGTGGTGTTGTTGGCCGGTGGGGGGGGGGGGGGGGGGGGGGGGGTTATGACACGTCTCACCTTTATGTTAATATTGTTTTATTTGATGCACTCCACTTTGAACTGCACCAATCCAGCGACTGCTGCATTGTAATAACTAGTATTAAAGGTGAGTACACCAATATTTGCACAATAATAATTTCTGTTTTAAACTCTCAGTGACACACTTTGCAGGGGGGATTTGGCATTTAATTTTTCTTGGCATTTGGAAAAACATCTTCTTTTGCCCCCTTTATTTGACTCTCTGCCCCCTTTATTTTGGTCCAAGATCATTACTGGGCTGGCCCTATTAAACACGTTCTACACCCCTGCTTAGTAGACTTAATGAAGTATTTTTAAGCCAGTATAAAAAGGACTGAAACACAAATTTACATATTTGGCATTATTGACCAATATCTTTGATTTAATTTATTTGTTAAGAACATCAAGATGCATTACAGTGAACATTATAATAAGCTGGGCGGACACTGTGCGGCTTTTTCACTCGTAACACAGCTTCAGCTCAAACTGTACGACTTCAGCGCAGGGCAGATCTCACGAGTCATGTGCTCACTGTACGTCTGGTAGCAACACGTCGGACCTAAAATATGCTAAAAATAGCAGTTTTTACTCAACACGTCAGACTTTTTTTGTCTTGTTTTGCCTGTTGTCCTTCGGGAGTGCTGCAGGAGGACACACAGGGATTTATGGGGGTTGGATGAGGAAACGAAATAAAGAAAGTAAATCTGTGTTTTGTGATCAGTTTAATTTGACATGAACACGACAAACACGCTTTCTTGACAATCTTTGTGAGTAAAAAAACGTGTAGAAACAAAAACGAACAGCGTGTGTTATTAGGGAAATAGCGGGTGAGCGGAGTTGATGCAGGATGGCGAATGCGCCGTGAGTGGTTCTGGTACTTTTTGGGTCGCAGCTGCTCGCAGCGCCGCTTCAACCCTCATGAGGAACGAGATAAATATTAAACACTCCAGAAGTCCGTGCGAGCTCACGATTGCTGATCGGTAGCTGGTCACGTGGTGTTAATTGCCTCTCGTAACCCCCCAGTACACTACATGACGCTCAGCGCAAAACTCGCCCCGATCTTGTGGATTCTCGCACGAGTGGAAAATCTGCTCAAAAAAGTGAAAAAGTCACACAGTGTCCGCCCGGCTTTACTGTCTGTGTGTGCGCGTTGATGCCTGGACCGAGCTGACGGAGCTCCCGGCTGCAGTTTTGTGTGTAGGGAGGGGCGGGCGCTCTATCTGACTGGCCAATCACAGAGCGTGAAGACAGTCAGTTACCCAATGAGAATTTCATTCAGCACGATTACGGATATTTTCGAGTTTTACACTCGTTTCTTGCTCGTATTCGTCAAAATTGCTTTATCCGTACGCTCATAGCTGTAACCACCCTGCCCTGCCTCCTCCTCCTTGCTACCTGCCGGCTGTGATCACAAGCAACAACACAGTAGTTCCTGCTGCTTCTTCGGGAAACCGCGCAACAAAAAAAAAAAAAAAAAAAACATCAATAAAACTTGGGATGTTGTAGGCGTGGCGGTGGGATTTCAGCCGTGGCGGCCCGCCACGGCTACGCCTATGTAAGGGAAACCCTGAATACTAATGAGAAGAGAGGGGGTGAGATTAGATTTGACAGCGTGAAGTAAAACCAGTAAATCCCTTCCTGGGGGACAGTTTTCTGTTGCACAGCCACGAAAATGAGAAAATATAAATGAAGAGAAAGTGGACAGGCAGCCAGGTGGATGACAGAATGTGTAAAAGAGAGAGAGAAGAATTAACAATCAGAGTTAGTGAAACACAAAACATCTAAGCAGCTCAGAGGAAGTGACTTTTCTCCTAAAAATGATCTCAACTCAAGAACCACGTCAAAGAGTTCTTCTGGTATTTGACTTTGTCCTTCAGCCTTTATCAGAGGTCAGTTACCTCGGTGTCAAACAACATAACGTTTTAAACATTCTGTCATCTTTTCCACTAAAAGAATGACTAGTAGTCTGCACGTATATGACCAATGTTATGGATGCTGGACTCCCGCTCCCTGAAAGGCCCAGCTCTGCTCCCTTTTCTGTTCAGGACCTTGGACAGGTCCTCAGTCAGGCTGGTTTTTCCATAGATATGTATAAAAACACTAGATGGCGAAAGAGGGAGTCGAGGGCGTAGCTAAACGGCGGCCATCTTACCTCAGACAGCAGACCCCTCCGTTCTCAGTGGTAGCAGCTGAAAGGTGAGTGATCAGCTTAAACAAAAACACCCTTAACTCGATGAAATATTCACGGATTTACAAGCGGTTTTCCTTGTTACAACCCTTAGAACACATGGGCTTGAGACAACATACTTGCACATGTTGAAAGTAACGCTTTTGCTTTTGAAAGTGGCCTAATTGTGAACCACATGTCCCGCCTCGGCTATCTACATGTTATTCAGGTTGAGACCACAATCTATGTTTTATGTGGCTTCACACCCTGTCCTTCCCCCTCGGTCCTTGGATCGTTGCTAAACGGTTTCGTACAGGATTAAGAAATTTAGTCATTCGATTGTTAAGATAAGTAGTTCTTTTGTTTAAATCCTTAAATCCAATAACGACTTTATGACAGCCCAATTGTTGTGTAAATGGCTGTTTGTGGATGTTTCTGTATTTATTAGCTGTCTAAGTTGGCTTAGAGATGACGAGGCTACGGTGGGTGCACTGCTTAGCAAAACAAAGTTGACTATTTACCTCAGTGGGAGTCGCTCGTTTTATTTTAAATAAATTAATGCTAAATTGCCTGTGATTTTTAAGCATCTTGGTTTGTTACACTAAACTTATATTGGGATATATTAAAACAGGACATTTCTGGATTTATGTTTGCAGAAATACGCCTTTATTGTGAAGCTTGAGGATCAACATGCCTGACTTTGTACAGCCTACGGATGCTCGAATCTCCGCTGTGACAAACTGAGACAACGTGGGATCACCTTTCATCTGCAACTGTTGCAAAGAAAACCTAGACTTGTACATTATTCAGTCTGTTAATTGTTTTTATGTAAATAAAATAATTAGAAACTGCTGTTCCATTACCTGCTGCTGCCTCCTTCTATACATTGTTTATCTGGTTTTATGAATGTTGAAAATCTCCTTCACAAGGTCAATCCGTTATCCATCTGTCTTATTTATTAACCTAATCTATATTTTGATTATTTCCTAACTTTTTCAGGAAGCATTTCCAAAGAGCTTATAATTAATAAATGAAAGTCAATAAATAAGAAAACAAAAGTTAAGAAATTGTGAAAATACTAAATAATTTGCTGGGAGAAATTTTATTGCTGGCTGGCTGACAAGATAAGATTTGGGTGTTGTTTGTCTTCTTTGCTGGGGAGCACATTTTGTATCTGTGTTCTGTTTATGTGGGCTTTACCTCTAAAGAACCTTGAAATCTCATCTGTACACAAATCTTATTTCACAAACCAGGAATATACATATATTTATATAGATATAGATAGATCTATATAATAATAGGCTATGTATACTTTAAGTTACTGTAGCTTACAATTAAATGTGTTTTCTATGAAAGATTAAATGCTTTGTGGAGTGAAATAACAGGAATTTCTGGGCCAACCCCATCCTATTTCATAGACACATCCCTGGCGTTTATAACAAATCAAACCTTTTGAAAATCGGTTGAAAATTGAGCAAGTTAGAGTTATTTAAATAGTACATACACCATACACCCCAATGTCAAGAAAGGGGGCGGCTCTCTGAGGTAAGATGGCCGCCACGTTCCTACGTCGCATCCCATAGGCGAACAGCGGGGACAAGGCATCTAGTGTTTATATACATATCTATGGGTTTTTTCCCCTCTGCCTGCCTTCACCAGCCCAGCTGCAAGCCAACAGCTCTCATCAGCTGAAGGCTTAAAAGTTCTCAGGGAGAGAACCACAGCTTCACACCCTGTCCTTCCCCCTCGGTCCTTGGATTGTTGCTAAACGGTTTCGTACAGGATTAAGAAATTTAGTCATTCGATTGTTAAGATAAGTAGTTCTTTAGGTTAAATCCTTTTGTTCTACTGCCGTTTTCGTTTTTTGATCCTTTTTGCAAACATTTCTGGTCAGCTCTTAAAGCTTGAATTCCTGTTCCGTTTCCGCTTTAGAGCTTGGTTTTTCTTTTGTAAATAGTATTAAATCTAGCTGTTGAGATTTGTTATTGTCCTCTGGTTTTATTTTAGCTCCGGCATTTTTCGTTAATTATAGATAAGGTATCTTCGTTGTTTCTTCCCTGAGGTCTTTTCCCTCAGGTGTTTTGATTTCTTCCCCGTCGCCTTAAAGAGAGTAAATAGTTCCTTCGTTTCGTTTTCAAGTCCGTCAAGGACTGACAATTTGTGTTTACTCCTTTTTCTAATAAAATGCATTTTTATTTATACTCACCCCTGTTCATGCCAGTTATTATGTTACCCCCTCCTTCCACAACTGACTTCCATCTAGGGTTTGTAACAACTAATGATTTAAACAATAGCCGAGTAAAACTGACGGATCTTTTTTCTCAACACTCCAATTCAAACATTTGTTGTGATTGTCCAAACCACACAACGACCATATTTTAAAATGTGTGAAAATTCAAATTACGGACTCACATCAGCACTGATGTCGTTGAACTTGGTGATGAAGGCATGCTTTACAACGTCCACAGCAACCTCAGATGTTATCACCATGACAACATCTGGAAAGAGTACCCACAGGTGGTCTGGGAACAAACATGAACGGAAGCATTTGAGGATTAAATATAAATATGTATTCATAAATCTGCAATAAAACCAGTGTTTGTGCTGTAAGAAGAGCCTGCAGAGGTTACCGGGGTTCCATGAGAACTGCTCCATGTTCCTCAGACAGACGATGAGCAGGAGGATGTAGTTGGTGAACCTCTCTTTTATGTCTGAGGGGAACAAACAAATCAATCCAGGATTAACCTAGTTTATGCTGACAGCAGCTCAGCTCGATTCCAAAAATGTACCTTGAACTGAATCAAGCTTAAAAGCAGAGGAATAAAAAAGCAATCCAAAACTTGAGATGTTTGTAGGATAAACTGAATTCACCCTTACCACTGTTAGACATCTGGAAAAGGTTGTTTTTTTCAAACTTCTTAAACACGCTTCCTTTGATTTCCACAAACTGCAAAAGAGACAACGATGACTAACACTGACGTGTCTCACGTCTAACAGAACAAGTGTGTGTCACACACTCACGTTATTGGACATCATTATGGTGAGCAGAGACTTGTTGTGGGAGTTGAAGGCAACGTTTAGTGTTGTGGCTTGTACCATGATGAGAATGGCATGAAGAACTGGATAAAGGCCGGCTGAGGAAAAACACGTTTTTCCATCGTTGCATTCAACCGAAGGTTGCATATCAACCTTACAGAAATTAACTTGTTTCTATTAGTTAAATAAAATATAGATATTCCATTCATATCCATAAAGAAGTGATATTAAATAACAGATGTTCCTAATAAAGGTTTTAATAAACTCTTACATTTTTATTTCTCATTTTGTATTTCTGTCCATTAGGGCTCTTTTTAGAATCTGAACTATTACAGTATGAATTACCGTGATATGGAATAATTGTTAAGTTTGTTAATTTTCTTTTACAATCTGTAATTTTTGTACAATTGTATGTAGTTTTAAAAAGAGGACCCCAGGTCTTTACTTTGGTGAAGACTAATGGGGATCCTTAAACATTATTCAGTTAAAATCTATTTTCAAATTTTATCTACAGACTTTAAATAGTATAAAACTTGATATTGGATGGATCAAAAAGGTTATAGTAAAAATATTCTGATTACTATTAAGATAGATGCAAAAACCAATAAAATAGTTTTTCTGAATAAAAATGTGAACTGATCACATGTATACAAGAAAATAAAAATAGTGGTGGGGGGGGGGGGTACCAGTTCGCAAGGCAACGCCTTCTTGTGGTGCATTTTTCAAACTGGAAATGTGGGTGGTGTATGACTCTGGCAAGGTGGTGACTTGTTCTTTAAAGGTGCATGAAGTAATAATGACATCTTGTGGTCAAATTTGGGTATTGCAGGCAACATATCAAAACAAACAGGACTTTTCTGAGTAACCATTACCATCATCAGCTCAGCACCAAAAGATTCTAGATGACAGTTTCACTGTCAGCGTTATTAGCTCAAGGCTAGCCTCTAGCCTTTTTTTACCCGATAGACTAGACCAAAAGATGTCGTGGCTGCTTAGGGGTTCAAGAAATAACTTCTGGGACGCTCCTTTTACTGGTTAATATTATTTCAACAATGCTGCTGCTTTTTGCCAGCTGGTGTTGAAATACAAAATCCTGCACAGACTTGGCAAACCTGTGCAACCAGGAAGTATAGATGTGAGAAAAACTGTAAAGAAAGACTTTGTCCCTCTTTAGTTATTTATATTATACATGTCCCTTCAACATGATTGAGACAAAAGACTGTTTTGTGATTATTTCACTGTAAAAATCCTTACTTATGGAAACTTCAATGAAACTGCTGTAGCCTCAAATGTTTCTTTTTATTAGACTTTAGACTTGCTGATCAGCTTATAATAATGGCCACATGAACCATGGGTTCATCTCTGAAAGGATACAAACGTAAAGCACAGCCATGAGGAAGTGAGGAATCACACCAATGTGTGCTCTCTTCTTCTCTTTGGGCTCAGTGGCTGTCCAGTACAGAGCGTCCAGGATGTCTTGGCCAAAGGACGAGAACAGGCGATCTGCCACCTGACAACATAAAAGCAGAAAGAATTATGGGAGGCTGAGACAGCAAACACACAGTTCACAGAGTAGATAGGATAAAGTACTAAAATAAAATACCTCCAACATGTTGTAAATTATGTAGAGTTTGATGACAGACTGCCCCCGGATGAGGTGGTACATCATGGAGTAATCCACATAGCTCATCATTGAGTAACACAGCACCATAATGAAGCCTTTCAGCACATCACACACTTGGGCTGGCTGAAGCAACCTGGAGCCCCTAACCCCCCCACAATGTGTAAATAAATTTAAAAAAAGGAAAATGTTAGGAAGAATAACATGAACAGAGACACAAAATGCCAATTTTCTCCATACTAAACCAATTTGGAGAGAACTCTACTGCCCTCTGGTGGTTAAAATATCATCAGCTACTATTCAGCATTTAGCTGGACTCATACACCAAATGACCCTAAAATAAAACTATGTTAATGATTCTCTTGTGAAATTAAATTAAATCTGCACTTTTGAAAACTATTTCCCATCATATTCTATTTTGATGCTGCAAGGTTTCTATTGTGTTGCACAAACAAATTGGTGGGATCAAGATAGACAAGACTTTTGAAAGCCTTTTCACATATTACAATGCAGCAAGCTAATAACATTTTAACATTATAAAAGATTATAAATATTATGAGTTGCAGCCGAAACTATAAACACACTTTAACTCAACTTCATCAAATCAATGTAGTATTTCATAAATCTAATAAAATTGTAGTTTTGCTAAAGAAAACCATTAGACACGAGGTATTGTAATTATTTTAATGGCTTTAAACATATAAAAGTAGACTATTTATGGTCAGTTATCCCTGAAATCTATGCATAAACATTACCTGAGGCCACAGCACGGTACAGCGACGAGCCTTAAAAGGGCAAGAACCACCCTGAGGGGCAACAGGGTAAACACATAGAGAAAGGTATCCAGACACAGGAAGAAGCCAAAAGTCATCAACTACAGAAAGACAGGGAATGAAAAACTGTGTAAAAATAAGTGTATTCCTATTTCAGTTTGTTCTAAACTAAATTCTTTGAACATGTACCTTCTCCAGCTCCTTGGGGATGCGGAGGCAGGTGTACACCTTCTCTCTGCGCTCTGTGTATTTGGCTTCATTGTGTTCAAGGAAATAGCCCCTGGTTATTTCAGTGGTTATAAATCTGCCCAGGGATAAATCTGGGGAGAAAGGAGAGGGAATGTTTATCTTTTGTGGTTAACAACTGAATAACTTCTTCTTTAAGTAGCTTTCACCTGTTCAGAGAAAATTGTACCTTCCAATATCTTCTTGATTCCAAATAACAAACATCTTTATAGGACATGTTTATATACTTTGTGCTGAAAACAGCAAGAAATCCAGAGTCAAACCTTGAAACTCAGACATCTTTGTGTTTTTTTATTTAGCAGGGGCAGGCGGGATAACGTTTACATAACAGGTCATGACCCTAAATATTGACAGGTACGGTTCTGAATTTCCTGCTATGAATAAAAATATTGAGGAAAATGTATGATGACCAGACAGTCTTTGAAAACCATAACAAGCCCATGTGTGCAAGGTTTCCTTATCGACTTGTGCGCATGCTCAAAGCAAAGGCACGTCAATGAGAAGCAAGCTCCTTCGTGATGAGCTGTTAGCTAAAGGTGAATACGAATCCTTTAGAAGTTGAAATTTTAATGCACGTGAAGTTTTAATCCTTTTTGTGCTCGTTTTGCTAAAGACTGGTGTTCTATGATCAGTAGCTAAAAGCTCCAGAGCAAACTCAGGGTAGTAAGCACAAGTTACGATGACAGCAGTATCAATGGCACGCTAAAGCCATGTTTACAGCTCGTTATTAACTCCAACTGCTTGACCAATTTATAACAATTAAGTTTAGTAGCAGACAGTGGTGTGAAACTAATAGACAAACAGGCTCTCGCTCACCTGACAGGTTTCGTTTTTGGCCTCTAGTAGCGCCATTTTTATCGTTGAACCCCAGCGTCTCGGTAACTCCGTCTTTGTCTTTATTTCTTTCTATTCTGACAGCATTTCTCTCCTTCTCATTGCCTCCTTTCTCTTGTTCTTTCTCCTCGCCTAGACCCGTCGACAGCGAATCCGCCATCTTCGACAAACGGTCTGAGCAGAGCTGCTGCCGTCACGTGACAGGACGTCATCGCGCGTAGTTTGCTTGCACATTGCACAAAACCACCAGTAGGTGTCGTTAAAGCTCGCGGATCATATTTGATCACATTTTATTGTTCCATTTCAAACTCAGAATTAAAATCATTATGTAATGTGTTCATGCTCCGTTGTTTGACTGATTTGGCGGCAATATTTTAATAGAAGCGTACAAATTGTTTAGTTACAAAAATGTGTGTTAGTAGCAGAGGTGGAAAGTAATGAATTACATTTACTCACTTTACTGTAATTGAGTAGCTTTTTTTGTATATTTATAGTTTTTAAGTCGTTTTTAAAAGCTGTACTTTTACTTTTACTCAAGTAAGTTTTTTTTAAAGAATTGTAATTTGCTACATTTTAAATCATATCCGTTACTGAGTAAAAACAAATTATAGGCTTAATAAATTAAAAATATTGCGTGTAGCAGCGTCGGAACATAAGAGACATCTGCATGAGCGCCGCATCTAAACCGTGGGGGGGGGGGGGGGTGTACACTTCTGCTCTAAAACATCAGTTCTGTTTCGTTCCCTCGTGACTGCCAGTGGCAGTAAACAGAGTGGACGTATCTCCTCGCGCTCTGCGCAGTTCAAGTGCTAATGTAAACAAAGTCACGCACGTGAAACGTAGCGCACCTGGTCGCGAGTCTATAAATTACTCGCCGATAGCTACGTTCGGGTCTCTTTGATCTTCTCGCTGTTGACCTGGCGTGCTTCGCTGGTCAATCGCTCCGTCAGTCTGTGATTCAGATCTTGTCGGTCTAGAGGTGAGTCCATTTATTACTTGGTGTCATCCTGCCCGAGACCGGGTGGTCGGAGCGCTCAAATGAGCCCTCTGGGGATTGACGCCGTTATCTGTCAATTGTTACCGAGAGCGGGCGGTGCGGCCGGTGTTCTGTCCAGTCGCCATACCTTGTCAGACTGGCATACCCGGATTACACAGTATGCCTGTCTGACAGATGTTGTCAGTCAGACAGGCATACTCTGTCAGATCGTCATACCTTTTTTTTTTGACAACGGTATGACATCCTGATGGGTGGTTTTACCTGTCAGATCGTCATACCTTTTTTTTTTTTTTACAACGGTATGACATCCTGATGGGTGGTTTAACAGTCGGATCATCATACCTTCTTTTTTTTTTACAACGGTATGACATCCTGATGGGTGGTTTTACCTGTCAGATCGTCATACCTTTTGTTTTTGACAACGGTATGACATCCTGATGGGTGGTTTAACAGTCGGATCATCATACCTTCTTTTTTTTTTACAACGGTATGACATCCTGATGTGTGGTTTTACCTGTCAGATCGTCATACCTTTTCTTTTTTTTTACAACGGTATGACATCCTGATGGGTGGTTTAACAGTCGGATCATCATACCTTTTCTTTTTTTTTACAACGGTATGACATCCTGATGTGTGGTTTTACCTGTCAGATCGTCATACTTTTTTTTTACAACGGTATGACATCCTGATGGGTGGTTTTACTTGTCGGATCATCATACTTTCTGTATTTGACAACGGTATGACATCCTGATGGGTGGTTTTACCTGTCAGATCGTCATACTTTTTTTATTTTTTACAACGGTATGACATCCTGATGGGTGGTTTAACAGTCAGATCGTCATACCTTTTGTTTTTGACAACGGTATAACATCCTGATGGGTGGTTTTACTTGTCAGATCATCATACTTTCTGTTTTTGACAACGGTATGACATCCTGATGGGTAGTTTAACAGTCAGATCGTCATACCTTTTTTTTTTTTTTACAACGGTATGACATCCTGATGGGTGGTTTAACAGTCAGATCGTCATACCTTTTGTTTTTGACAACGGTATAACATCCTGATGGGTGGCTTTACTTGTCAG